GTTTTATTTCAATGATATATAAGTGTATTTTTTTAGAATTCTATTAAGATTTGTGTTCCTAAATTATTTAATCCAAAAAAATATTTTTTTTCTTATTTCAATCATACACCTTTAATCAACCACCTTATAAATGTTTATATTAACTTCTATAATAAAAATATTTTTTACCACAAAACTTTGAATCACAACATATTATGTCTTTGATTATTTACACTTGTTACAAAAGCCAAAACAAGGCATTCTATGTATAAGCAAAATATTTATATTTAATAAATTTTCTACCTCAACATTAATAATATTTTGTATAATTGGAAATTAAATTTTAACGAAAAAACTCTAAAAGTTGCTTTGAATAAGTTAATTATTTTCTATTTATTTTTATATTTCATATTTAATAAATCTTTTTATAATCTTGCTTTAAATTAATTTTTTATATATTTATAAATTTAATAAAAAATGATAATATAAAAAATATATAAAAATATAAAAATAATAAAAAGTTTTATCTTTAATAAAATAAGCCAATAATATAATATATTGTATCTCTCTCTCTCTCTCTCTCTCTCTCTCTCTCTCTCTATATATATATATATATATATATATATATATATATAATTTCTATTACTAAAATTAAAACTTCCATATATTATTTTTACATGATTTTTTAATTGAATTGAGATGACTACTACCTTCTACTAGTTACTAATGCAATAGATAGTTATTATTATTATTAGTTGATTTTTAAATAAATAAAAAATAATTAAAATGAATAAAAAATAAAAATCCAAAAAAAACCACTTAACAATAGAGATATTCTTAAAGACCAAGATTTACACCATAGAAGAGATGAGACAAACTTGATTTCAAACTTCAAGATCATATCTAAGGCTAAAAAATAAAAAGAGAAAATAATATAATATATTATGAATATTATATCTTCTATACAAAAAATACATGTAATTTTTTAAAAATTATTATTATTTTAAAATATCTTTATTATTAAAGAATTTCAATCAAATAAATAATTATTAATTTTTATCCAATTGATAGTTACTACAAAAGAACAAAAAAGACCAAAAAATCTAATTTTTAGGCAAAAATTACATTAAAAATAATAATTAGAATTTACCAATTTTAATAATTTATAAACACTACAATCAATCATATAAGAAGAATGAAAAAAATCTAAGTTATAAAAACTATTAAAAATGAATTATATTTCAATTAAATATAGTAATGATTAATATAAGGCCAAATATTATGTGAAGATAATTTTTATCATTCAACCCAAATTACAAAATTTCATTATATGCTTATAATTAATGGTGGAATTAACAAAATCCAATTAACAAGTATAACAAAAAAAAAAAAAAAAAAAAAAACACATCAAAGAAAGAACTATACAAAAGATAAATACTATAAAAATTGGTCATGTTTCTTCACTAGATTTTGACTTGCTAAATAAATAAAGATATGAGATAGATAATTATACAAGTTAATTTTTTATCTGTGTATGATGAAAATATAAGAGAATTCAAATTCTTATGAGAAAGTAAAAAGAATTTCAAGCTAAGAAACACAATTGGCAAAAGTTGAGTGAACATCCTCAACCTCCGACCCAAAGAACTTAGTCTCAAAAGCTTCTTCTCAGTTGAATTTAGACATGTAGCAGCACTCGCAACCGCATTGGCTTTACATCAAGGAGAATACTTCGATGAGGTTGATAACAATATTTGTTTCACACTGTTCTTGTGGATAACTCCTTGCTATCCCCGAGAGAGAGAGAGTAGATCGAATATCACCATCAGGGGGGCCGCATTGTGTCCCAGTGCTGGAGTGTGCGGCCGCTAGGTTCCGTAACGCTTAAATCGTGGAGCTAGACTTCCAGGTAGCTTACATCAATGCAAATTCTGACTGCTACTACTCCATGTTGGATACCGGTTGGCCCTCCTCGCAGCTGACGGCTTCCCGGAATCCATAGTTAATTTTTACAATCTTTTCCATTTGCTAAAGCTATGCTTGTGTTGAATAAGTTTTGGTAGTAGGATGGAAAGATTTCGTTACCACACCACCGTGTGATGTTTCTATGCATCATGAAACCAGCTTACGGCTGGTCAGATGGTTCCATGGCCCAAGGCGAATATCAATCACAGGGTACAAGCCCTGGTTATCTCCACAAATACGGGATTCGAAGGCATTTTAAGTGGCTCTAGACTGTAGCTTCGTGTTCCGAACCATGACTTGGGTGCTGGCTTCAGCCATTAAATTTCTAAATTATTTTTATAACTATACTTCAAGTTATTCTATTTTGTAACCCACTAAAATGTTGAAGAGATGCGTGTATTGAGCTGATCCATGTATACCTACAAATATGGGTGTGAATCAGTACCTCACGTCTTCTCGTGTGGCGTAGGCAGCCACTACAGCAACTTGCTTTGTTATGACAGAGCAAAAAATCATCAAATGTTCTAGTAATCAGAACTCAAAAGATCTTCAGTAGGGCCGGGCTGGATGATCATAGATAATCTGCTAACTGCCTATTGGTCATCACAGATAATGAGGAACAGAACTAATAACTTAAGCAAGTAGGTAAGCCTTAAAACTTTAACCTAAAGAAGGCAGCCTGCAACTAAATTCTGATAGTTTCGATCAATTCAACAAAGTAACAGCAACGGCGGAAGGCAAACTCCCGAATGACCTGGGTCCCGAACGACTGCCTGTACTTCTGCTTCCGGCCGTTTGACTTCGTTGCATCGTGAACCCGTGCACCTCCAGCAACATCTGCTGACGTAAGTCCGACCAAAGACATTCGGACCGTAAACACCTCTCAAAGGCGGCTGTTGTGCAGTGGTGGACTCGGTCGTGCTTCAGAAGCTTTGGTGCACACCTTCTGGATCAGATGTGAAGCACTCAGCCTCTGCAATCAGTGCCGTAATCCATCCACTCCATCAGCTACGACCCAACGGAGAGGACCGGGGACGACGCACATCCGACCTTTGCGATGAATCGGACACCAGATACGAACACTACCGAGGTTGACATGTGCCACGTCCCGGTGTAGCACAACAATACGTGGGCTGCGCAAGCCAACCCACACTGAACAGACCCTCTACTCCAGCTCACATAGATGTTCCCTTTACATACTCCAGCTCAAGGCCCACAAGCATGACATCGTTTCCTAGCAGCGGACATCAGTGACGACGAAACCTAGGCAATGCACAGTGTCACGCAGATACAGATCCAACACATCATGAAACCCACAACCCATCCCACGTCAACTCTTCACGGACGATTCAAACTAGCTTCATGTTACACACAACTCCTTGTTGTCACAGGCTTTTGGGATCAATCCTTCGCTGGACTCCCTCTCAGCCAGCACATTAAAACAGAACCCCATGCAACAGCACTGCGGGGACCGTACTGGAGATGTCGTTACCCCCTGTGTAAACCGCATGCCAGGCTGAAACACGGCATCTCCTAATTCAAGCCCAACTCCACAACTGTACTCTATCACAACCCAGCTTTGGTGCCACGAGGAGTCGCTCGGTCCTCACCGACACCTCTATAGGCGTCGCACGAGAGTGCGACGCTATCTTCAACCCCACAAGCTAATCGGGACTTCCGCTGGCGTCACGTGGGACGAAGCTGATCCAGCGCTCGACCCGACTACATCAGTGGGTGGGGACGCAGCACTTCTTGTGGGAGTCGAACTTCATGCCCTGCTTGCATCGCTGGCCGCACTTGCCGTTGCTGCAGAAGGCCTGTCCTTTGGAGTACTTGGGGTGCGGGCACTTCTTGCCACACCCCTCGCAGTTGTGCAATTCCATGCCCACGTCCTTCTCGCACCCGTCCTTCCAGTCGCCGTTGCAGTTGGCCCATCCGGCCTTGCAGCTGTAGTGGCACTTGCCGTTGCTGCACCTAGCGGTGGCGTACGGGCCGCACTCGCACTTCTTACCTCACTCGCCGCAGTTGTGCACGTCCTTGTCGCATTTGGGGACGGCGTAGGGGCCGCTTTCGCACCTCTTTCCCGCAGTCGCCGCGGTTCTTCACATCGTGCATGACGTTGGTCTCGCACCCGTTCCTGTGGTTCTGTTCGCAGTCCTTGGTGCCTTGCACCACGCGTAGGCGGAACCTGCATGGCCATGCCGGAAACCACATCAGTGCGGAGAACTACCTGCATGACATCAGGAATGCTGCAGAACGAAGGAGGTGCCGCGCCATTGCAGGCGCAGACACTTCGAAGTGTATTCAGCGGAGGTCCTGGAGGAGTGAATCGGATGTGGATGGAGTTGAGATCTCGCTGGTGCTGCTGGTCCAGCTCTTGGGTTCCGTTCGGTGGGAGGTCGGTGGATGGATGTCCGAATGCAAGTGCAACTACAACTCAAACTAGGCGAGGCCGATGGCCTGGCAGGATGGTGTGGGGCATTACCTATGAGGAGCATTGCTAGAGTGGCAACAACCAGGACGCTGACTTGTCCCTGTGGCTGAGAGGAGGCCATCATCTTGCGAGGGCCTGGTGGTCTGGCCTGAAGGTTGCACGGATTCCAGATGTAGGCGATGGCAAGTGGAATACACTGAAGTAGCGGGAGATGGTGGTGATCGGCAAGTCTGGAGGCGAGGTTTAAGTAGTGTCGCTATCTGACACCCCCGTATCTTTCGACTGCCGCTTTTTGTTGAGTAGTTACAAGGTGTACTTCCACACCTGTGGTAAATATGCTCTGATTGCTTAGTACTTGTCGTACGACACAGCTGAGTGTTTTCGTCGTTGTCACCATTCACTTTCGCGAATCTTCTTGCTTCGCGCCTGGGCATGGTCACGTCACAGGTGATCGCCTTGGTTGGCGCAACCTTCTTTACATCCTTTGCCTTTCGAAAATGACTACAATGACTTTACTAGACTCATTTCCTGAATATTTTGTTACAGAAAAGGATTATCAACTAAAGCAATGAATGTGGGTCCATTTTCAAATGTTATAAGGCAAGAACACTACGTGCAGATAGATTTTAAACAAAAGACAAACTTTATTCACATCAGGTTTACACTGAACAGTAGCAACTCACACACGAGCGTACATAAATTTATACAAGTCATGTACATTTTTAAATTTACTGTTCCAGATGTTTGCAATCATCGGATTGACTAATGACATCGAATTCCCACATTACATATAACTATCCACTCTAATAAGGCTGGACGTCGAGGTTGTCTATACAGGACCGGTTTCCAAGAGGGTGGCATACTATCAATTAGTAACAACCAACTGCTTCCAACATAAGGCCTGAAGCCGAACTACTGATATGAGTTTATTGACCTTGTCAACTGCTATGTCTCAGTCCCTGGTCTTTTCAAGGGGACAAGGATGATTCGCCGCCCATGTGACTCCACATCTTACCGATTTTCCAAGTCTCTGTATGTCGAACGCGTGTCGTTGCTAGGTTGCAACAAGCTGGGAATAGAGCTTGTCCTCCGTTTAATTGCTGAGGTGGGTAATGAAGTGTTACCATGAGATTGAAGTTGTCGATTCGTTTCATGCAGACTGGTTTGGATCCAAGTGATATAATTGCCTTGGCCTTGGGGGTCTCCGTGAAACGCGGAGATGTAACTCTAACCTAGATCCGAAAATTCAGGGATGTTGATTAGTGCGTAATCTAGCAGTTTGAGTGGGGTCTTTCGAGTAGTGGTACTATCAGTGATACGAAGTGCACCTGCAGCAGCACACTTCGATCCAAATACAGGTCAAATTCGGTAGAATGGACATGAATTCGGGAACTGGTCGGGCTAGAGCACCGCAGAAGGGCAATCTTTTTGTCAATCAAGCAGTAGCAGAGCCAATAAGCAGCACAGATGAGAGAATACCATATGAGCATATATCAGCACAGGGAGGCATCAGAAGTCGGAGGCACTTAACACCTATTCAAATATCAGACAAGAATCCGAATCACAGGAATTCAGGGATGCGCTCAAGAAGAATCTACGCACCCACAAGAATCCCAAGGACCAACAACCGGAGAAACTTCTCCTGTCGCAAGACGCCGCCCGGACAACCGGAACGCCAGCATACTGGACAAGCACACGCACACAGGTAACTGCGGAAACCCCTCTTCATCTAACTGCTTCACAGGAGGACGCAGAATGTCGTACACCGGACCAGGACAACCGGTCTACAGGGATACAATATTACTCGCAAACGGGATGTACAATATCCCACCTGAGCAAGGAGGAGGGAGAACTTTTGGAACACCAAGGAGATTCAGACCTAGAAATATTCCAGGCTGTTAGGAACCAAGTACAGAACCGAAGGCTAACTGGACAACAACTCCTAAGTACCCTCACCTGGGACTGTCCTTCACCAACTCGAAATATGAAGAAATAGCAGCGTTGGTGACAAGAGTAGCCCCGGATTTATCTCCAAACATACTAACCGGGCCTTCATAGCGAAACAATACCCATATCACAGAACAAAGACAATCCCAAAGAGGTACTCACACCTATCTTAGAGGAACCATGTACCAGACAGACCTCAACCGCAGAGACAACAGAACAGGCCAATGTGGTACCCATTAGCTCACAAGAAAAGGAACGCCCCCCACCTGTGCGTATTACTATGACTGCAGACAGGGTACAGACATACCAGGAAAAAATGAAAAATCTCACCAACTACATGGTCTTGGGACACATCTCGGGGCGCACACCCGGTGCCAGGAAACTATCCATGTGGACCAAAGCAAACCTACACAGATCTTTCAATCAACTAACTATACGATCCAATAACTACTTAGAAATCCAGTTCTCTCAGGAAGAAGGCCGGATGAGTACGCTAGCCGGGGGGGGGGGGTATAACGTTTTACAGTTGGAGTCCGTACTTCAATACAGATCACCCGCTCAAAAAATCAGGACTAAAGATTGGAATCTGGGCACAAGTTAGAGGATTACCTCCATTTCTTCGAACCCAAAAGTTTCTGAGAGAAACTTTTGAGAATTTTAGCGAAGTGTTATTTGTAGACGATACATACACATACCTTACCAGGCTATCAGGACCCAGAGTACGCATCCTTACAAGCAATGTAGAAGCTCTACCCCACTCCATCATTATACCAAGACTAGACAATGAGGGAGAAATAGAATACTCTCTAGAATATAGCGGTCTTTCCTCTAAATGTAGTAGATGTCGATCGTTTGACCACTTGGTACAAAAATGCCAAGTAGCACGACGACCGGCAATCGGAAGACAGAACACAAAACGCACACAACGAAGCAATGGCAAGACACAGAATACAAACACAACTAGGGCTGTAGATGGGAACCCGACACCACCCCCACATACAAGCCCACACAAGGGACCGAACACTAAACAGCCTACTTTCATTTGGTAACCGAAACGTGATCAGCAGAACAGCCAAACCTCTACAGATACACTCCAGGCAGGGACATATGGACACAGAACACCAGATCTACACAAAAACTTTTGGAGAGCAATATCACCAAGCCGGATCTTGGAAACCACAGCTTCTGCAGTAATAGTTACGGGATTCTACAGAGAGAACAAAAACCTTCTAGAGGTTCTCACCGAGACCGAGGGCACCCAAAAGAAACCGGAAAACATACTCACGCTGACACATGGACAAGGGGAATAGGAATGGACCCAATTATCGGCTCGTACTCATGTCGTCAATGAGACCATGCTTCACATACGAGGACAAGTAGTGTTGAAACACAAACATGTCAACCCACTTCGGGTGTGGGAGGACGCGTGCTGGCTCTTCACATGGTCAAAATCAACCACACACCCACCTTTATGCACAATCACAGCATTAATCAAATACGATGAGGAAATCTGTGCACCGCGTAACAGCACCAGGCAACAGTGGGAAGTACTCCCCATGACCATACAGGAAGACCTCAGGCGATTCACACAGGACAGAACACAGGCTTGGGACTTGGATTCAAATGAGCTACCAGCCTTCCTGGGCTATAATACCACAAGACTTCCAGGGGCCTCAACGTCACAGCATAATGCTACTGTACCGAATCATAAAGATGATAAAGAAGGGAAGTCCACAACTCCTTAACCGGACGTGATAGATGAATAACCACCTTACTCTCACGTCGCTTAACGTGCAAGGACTAGGACGCGACATCAATGGAGTCCGTAAGCGACGTGAGATACGAGATTTCTTCCAGAAATCCCAAACCAGAAATAATTCTGGTTCAAGAGCACAAGTTATCACTAGAAGAAGGGAAGAGGCACACAAAACAGATTGAATTTGCAAAAGGCGTCTCTCTCTGGAATGAGGCAACCTATTGCGCTCAAAAAGATAGCTTTAAGGGGGGCACGGGTATACTATTATCAGAAAAAATAGCAAGCCTCATCTGCGAACATGGGGTCATAATGAAAGGAATGGTTCAGTATGTTACCCTCCAATGGACATCTTTTCTGAAAATCGGGATTTAAAAAATATATGCATTTAACTATACTGGATCTCGAACAAGGTTATGGACTAAAATACGACACTATCCACTGCCTGAAGCCCACTGGATCCTAGGCGGAGACTTCAATATGATAGATCAATTAGATGATAAACAAGGAAGGCAAGACATCATCGGCCGTGGCCAAAGAGAACAAGTACCCTGGGGAGACTTACAGGTACACCTAGGCCTTCAGGATAGTTTTAGAGCGGATGAATTTAGGAAACTATCCACGAAGAAGTTCTGGGATAATAGACGTAATGCCCCAGGAATGATCTGTTCCGGCTTAGATAGATTTTACTTAAACCATACTCTTATCCAACTTGGAGGACAGACTGCTATCTGGCATTCCCTTACTCACGTCTCAGACCACGCACCTGTAGTCTTAAAAATTCATCAGCAACATTTAAGAACACAAAACCAACCAGCCTTCAATAGGCACCTATTGGACGATGAAAACGAAAAGACATTGTTGCTGGCAGAATGGACTAGGGCTATGGCATTGAACTCGAACAAAACTTGGAACGTCCGGTTTTTCGAGGGACTGAAAACGCTTAAATATTACAGCGACTAGAAAACATTAGCTTACCGAGCACAACGCAGCAAAGCCTTCACAGCACAATTAACACCAGTGATTGAAGCGGAACAAGCTCTACTACACAACTGGAATGACCAGGGGGCCAGGGATACTCTTAATTTAACACAAATAGAACTCCATATGCAACGTCAAAAGCTGCTTGAATCCAAGCATGACAAACACATGTCCGAATGGACACGCATCGGTGATCGATGCAATCGGGAATTTTTCAAATTCCATACGGGATATAAGAAACCGACCCTAATTAGTGAACTCATAGACGACGGTCGATCACTCACCAACCAAGAGGAGATGCAATATTACGTTGACTCCTTTTACATTCGACTCTACATGCGAGACGACATAGAAGAGGCCAATCAACAAGCTTGATTAGACTGCCTCAAAAGTGTCCCCTGGTGTGTCAAAGAAGACCAAGGAAGGAAACTCACACAGTGCCCCACTCTGCAGGAGGTATACGAAAGCAGTCAAGGGACTCCCCACCGGAAAAGCCCCCGGAATCGACAGTCCCTATCGAATTTTTTAAAACTTTTATAGAAGAATTAGGGCGAGATCTCCTCGGACTAATCAAGGAAATATTTGAAACCAAAAAGTTATGCCAAACTTATTAGTGGCCAAACTGATAGCTACTTTATATATTGAAACCAAAAATTTACTTGGTGCAATGTATAAAATAGTGGCCAAACTGATAGCTAATAGAATGATTCCCTATCTACCTGCCTGGATACGAAGCTCTCAGAGTGCATTTGTACGGGGACGCTGCATCTTCGACATCTTTATGGCCCAATCTTCAATAGACTAGGCTATAGAGAGCAACCAAAATCTCATCCCCTGCTCCTACACTTTGAAAAAGCCTATGATACGATAAGTTGGAATTTCTTGAAAGAAACCATATTACACATGGGCTTTCCCACGGACTGGGTTGAACTAATTATGACATTATACTCTGAAGCCTCTACTAGAATTATGCTAAACTGGGTACCTAGGGAGCAATTCTCTCTCCAACGTTATTTGAGACAAGGGTGCCCATTGGCACTCTATCTATACCTCCTTGTAAAAGATGAGTTTAGGCACATGCTCTCAAATCCTCATCAATCCTTGGTAGGATTCATTCTATTAGATGGTAAATCAACAACAAACCAAATATATGCTGATGACTTGGTACTCTATATCCACGAAACAAAGCATAATATAGATACTGCCATGGAAATACTGAATATCTACTGCAAAGGGAGTAGCACTAAAATAAATTAGAATAAATTATATGGAATCTGGTCAACAAGACAACCTCGCTCATGGTAGTGGCTACTAGACCCAGGTCTTAACTGGCTACCATCTCGATCTACCACCAAATATCTTGGATTTCCAATTGGAGCTTTAGCACCGGTAGAAGTCATCACTAATAAAGTGATCCAAAGCTTGACTGCAGGCCTCTCAGTGTGGGAATTGAAAAATCTATCTTTGGCCGGAAGGTTCATAATTACAAACCAGACAATATTAGCCATAATCTAGTTTCTGTGCTCTTGTTCAGCAACCTTAAATACTACCTTCAAAACAATTAGAGCACTCACATGGAATTTCATATGAGGGGCTAAGTTGGATAAGAAAATGAGGGCAAAGCTAAGCTAGACACTCTTGATCCAAACAATAGTCTTGGATGGGGTTAAAATATTAGATCAAAAACTTCAGACCTATGTGCTAATGACTAGGATACAAACCATGGAAAGTCTTTGCGAGATATAATCTAGGACGTACAAAACCTATCAGGGCGAGAAGATAGTTCAGACACATACATTGGATCAATGCAAGCCCAATAGTGCCTACAAGATCCACTTTGCTATGGTGAGCAACGTTTTAGTCTTGAAATTCAATAAAATCCGGCCTAGAATAGATTGCTCTAGCACATCCAATGAAGGTCCTTAGACAGCTGCTATTTGGAAATATATTAATCTAACAAGCATCTGGCACACTCTTTGGCATTGAAGCAAATTGTAGATTTTATACATAGGTGAAGAGAGGTGTTTTTTTTAGATTAAAGACGTGGTCTTTCAGCCAACAAGACGGTGGCGTAAAGAAAACTTCATCAAATTGGCTACAAGCTCATGTACAACAGCCATACCTTGGACATTACTTAAACGAGTTATTCTTTGGAATCTTCCTTCTCAAATTCCTCTAAAAATAAGCAAGTGGATAACACTCACTACCTCGAGTATTGATACCATATACCATATACAAAAAACAAAAGAAAAGAAGTCGCTTTGTAAAGTCTATACTATCCTACCATCAAAGGAAATCAAATCCATTGATGATCGACTATAATTGCTACTATGAGATAATCACTAGCAAGTAAGAATCATTCAAATAATAGGAGCTAAATGTAATATGTTATCATATAATCCAAAAACCATGAGTGAAGATGAAAGATTATGGCTCTTCAGTACAATTCTTATTTTTCAACTGAGGTGAGATCCCAAAAACTGACAATGGGCCAAATTGAGATGCCTTGAACCTTGCAACTTCTTTCAACATACAACTAAGTGGGGATATCAAGAAGTCTTTAGAAAAACAAGCAAACAAATGTATGGTCTCAAAGATTTGAAGGCACTGGATTACTCATCTAAACAACAAAGACAACTCATACAATGGATCTAGCACCTATGGATACCTTGTAAGATAGCGGCCATACAATGGCTGTACCTTGTGGAAGACTTATCAATCAGAGAATGGAGAGCTAAAGCTTCATCAACAAGTATATCTGGACTAAGTCACTCCGAAGAAATAGAAACAAGTGAACATGCTTTATTTAATTGTCCAAAGATTGCAACTACATGGGAGTACTTTACAGCACTGAGATTCCAAAGTCAACTCTCAGACAACTACTAAGAATGGAACAACATCCAATTTGATTCACTAAATCTACTTGAAAGTACAGACCTTGCCTAGAAATCTTCATGGGATGGATGAGCTAAGATATAAATTAACAATAATACACCATGGGATATACTACGAGCTAATCTTAATTGGAATATTTGGATTCAAAAGTGTGAAGAAGAAATGAACGGCCATATGTTTTTGCTCGGCAAAGTATTGTTCTACTCATGGAAAATAATAATCCATGTCGGCGCAAAATTATGGCATAGCATTTTTAGACATAAACGTAGTCAAGACAAGATCATTTAGTTGATAATCTTCTTCAACATAGTTTGGACTCGGTAGGGAGTTTTTGCCACCTTTGGCAATCCACCATACTCGAAATGGCTTCCACCAACTACCTTTCTTCCACACGACTTAGCACAAGCTATTCTTCAAATGCCACTAAGGCCAAGGAGAAAGATCTCATCAAACTAAATGAAAAGCTTGAACTCTAGGAAAAAGTTCTCCTTGGCTATAGACAATCTTTTTGATGAGGTTGATAGAGGTATATACGAACAATAGATCAAGTTCTCTACTCAGACACAAATACCTTCTTTTTCTTGATTCAAAGATATCCTCAAACAAGCAAAGGCATTTGAAGTAACTTCAATGGAGATGGCCAATAATCAACAAGCAACACTATTGATAATAGACAATGATCTACATCAGATCCAACTTAATGAATGAAAGATGGAAAGAGAGGTCTGAGAGATCTTAACTAATATAGAATACAAACAATTGGATCAACCTCTAGACTCACCTCCAACAACTCAATACCAAAAATGAATTAACAAAACTAGAGAGAGATGATTTGATACAGTTCCATATGGACTAGAAGATCTCATCTATCTGGTAGACTCAGCCTAGTGCAATCCATTATTCTGAGACAGCATCACTGCCCTAGAAATTTATGCAACCACAAACCAATACTTACAGGGCAATAACTTTTAAAGATGGATGGCAAACGAGCACGAGTACTTCGATCTAGGGCCAAAATACCTAAGATGATAATACAAATAGATACAGCATAAGAATACTAATAAAATCTCAAGTGAGTTTGCATTCCGTCAATGTAAGTTTATCAATCTTGACTTAAAGATATAAGAATAAGCATACAACAGATTTAAATCTTAAAAATGGCACATGCCTATAACAACCAATGATAGGACTACACATGCAAAGGCACTTTTGTAATGCACTTTGGTGCTTGTTTTTAACCCTATTAGAGATTTCAACGTTTGGATCCAAGTGATGTAACATATTATGCCCTTGGATGTCTTAAAGCGCACTTTGTCTATGTGAAGATCAATGTCAAAGAGTTGTTTTGATGGATTCATCAGCTGTAGAAGTAACCTAGTGAGGGTGGTAACAACTTCATGAATTAGTTTGAATACTCAAATCGTGCTTTTCTATGGCCTTGATTTTTCTTATATTATTATTACGGATGAGAAACTAACATTGCTTCGGCCCGAATGGTCAAGCACCCCCTCAGTAGGCCTAGCTCGGATGCGTCTAAGAAGCTGGTGCTTAGTAGATGAATATAAGTTTTATAGCTCAATTTTTTTTTTATTCGTAAACCAACATATGTCTTTGGATCATTTACTTTGGTTTCAAGATTTTTGTTCATTGTTATGAGCACATAATCAATGCATTGAATGTCTTGATAGCAGCAAAGACTATCATCAATAAACATAACGATAATAAGTTAATTGACATTGTGAAAATAATAAATACATAGATCTACAAAATTTTATTTAAGTTCATGAGTAATAAGGAATTGATCAATACATTGCTTCCATGAATGGCTAGCTTCTCTCAAATAATATAAAATCTTATATAAATAATATACTTTGTTTGAAAATTATGAATTTTTAAAATATAGAGCTTGCTTTATATAATTTTACCATATAAGAAAGTAATTTTTATATTAAACTATCAAATATGCATATCTTGGCTTGCATTAATTGTAAAAATAAGTCTAATAGAATCATATTAATAGTAAGTGAATAAGTCTCTATAAAATTAATTCTATATTTTTTGAACATCTTTTTGCAACCAATCTTGCTTTGAATTGATCAATAGTGTTATCAAATTTTGTTTTAAGTACCTAAACCCACTTGTAATTTAT